ACACTTGTAGCATGTCCACATATTCATCATTAGTAAAATTTGGCATAATTCTTGTTAATTTACACCCAAAAAGTATTTAGCTGATAACAGTGACAACTTACAGAAGAGTTAATTGTGACAACTGGCATGACAGCAGCACACTTAGTTTTTCTTTGATTGATTGCAATCATATACGGTGTGAGGTGAATGGTAATACATTTTATTTTTTTATTAATAAACGAAAAGTTTTAAAGGAAAATTGCTAGAGAGATAAAAGTTTCTAAAAGAACCAGTTTATCTAATGCGTATTTTTGGATATCGAGTTTTTACGAAATATAAAAGTTATGGCAAAAAATGGCTTGAGGGGTGGTTATTTCAACCCCTTTCGAGGGGTTAAAATTTTCGAAAAATAGTTGAAAACTCGCATCTGTATTAGTAAACAACCTGTAAAAAATTTGTTATTTGTACCTCGTTCGGTTTTCAAATTACAGCCAATTTTCATAATTTTTTTGGAAACTTTGATGGCCCATATCTCTTCAGGGGTGAACATTTTACTAAGGCGATTTTTTGCAGATCGTGTTCTTTTGAAATGTAGATTCACTGGTATCATTTATGCTACTCCATTCAAAAACACCCTGTATAAGGCGTTAACATTGTAAACTATTCAACTTATCGATTCCAGACTTCGTGTAAATTATTAGACATAATAAACTTCTTCTGTTTATAACTTTTGATCAATATTTTTTGACGCTCGAGGGCTAGTTTTGTAGGTATTTTGAAGACGAAAAAGAAAGTGTTTTAATGGTTTCTCGTGGAAATGAACGGAAAAAAGTTATAAGCTAAAAACGTGAATTTACGTAAAAATTATACAATTAACCACCCTGTAAAAAATCTTCCCCCCATTTTTATGACTGTGGAAACTAATATGTTATTGTACATAATATTTAGCATCTATAGTGATAAATTCAATATTTCCTGGCCTATGGATTAAAGTCATAGTTTTCGATTGAAGACCTACCTAAATAACTTTATAAAAATAAATATTTAGGATTTTTAGCTAAAAAATAGGAAAAAAATGGCAAACACAATCTCCATCCCATATTGATCAGGAGCAGGCAGTCCTGCTAATCCCCCCACCCCCACTGACGTCCTGTGCACACTTTTCTGTCGCTCGCAGTGGTCCTTGCCAGAACTAGACAAGGACGTCACGACGAAGGATCTTATCGATCTTGCTCCAAAGCCTGACCTGGGAAATCGTCGCTCTATCATCATTCCGAATAGTGTGCTGTGACGGGACGGTCGTGGGTGGAAAATGTGGCAAAAAATCAAACTATTATGTAACTTGAACGTTTCGAAGCTCTGGAGGAAAGGTGGGGCAGTTTAATGGTAAATATTGGGAGTACTGATTTTACCCGGTTTTTAGATAATGTCGGAGATGTGAAATTTTCAATAATTTCTTTTCAATTTTNGAAAACATAAACAGCAGACTCAACAATAAAAAGACTGCACAAAGTTAAAATTTTATATTTTTTAAAAACATCTCTACATGAATCCAGGAAATGTATATTTGCAATCAACCTCAGAATACGCTTCTTCCGTTTATAACTTTTGATCTAATCAATATTTTTTGACGCTCGAGGGCTAGTTTTGTAGGTCTTTTGAAGACGAAAAAAAAAGTGCTTTAATGGTTTCTCGTGGAAATGAACGGAAAAAAGTTATAAGCTAAAAACGTGAATTTACGTAAAAATTATACAATTAACCACCCTGTAGAAAATCTTCCCTCCATTTTTATGACTGTGGAAACTAATATGTTATTGTACATAATATTTAGCATCTATAGTGATAAATTCAATATTTCCTGGCCTATGGATTAAAGTCATAGTTTTCGATTGAAGACCTACCTAAATAACTTTATAAAAAAAAAATCTTTAGGATTTTTAGCTAAAAAAAAATAGGGAGAAAATGGCAAACATAATCTCCATCCCATATTGATCAGGAGCAGGCAGTCCTGCTAATCCCCCCACCCCCACTGACGTCCTGTGCACACTTTTCTGTCGCTCGCAGTGGTCCTTGCCAGAACTAGACAAGGACGTCACGACGAAGGATCTTATCGATCTTGCTCCAAAGCCTGACCTGGGAAATCGTCGCTCTATCATCATTCCGAATAGTGTGCTGTGACGGGACGGTCGTGGGTGGAAAATGTGGCAAAAAATCAAACTATTATGTAACTTGAACGTTTCGAAGCTCTGGAGGAAAGGTGGGGCAGTTTAATGGTAAATATTGGGAGTACTGATTTTACCCGGTTTTTAGATAATGTCGGAGATGTGAAATTTTCAATAATTTATTTTAAATTTTTCTATATGCGATTAACCATACATTTTTAATTTACAGAAGAGTCGTACTCAATTCAAATTAATTGTATTTTTTAAGCTAATGGTTTTGTATCGACATAAAACAATGTGACGCTACCTATCATTTTTTTTGTTAGTAAATATAGGAAATGGTTTTTAGACAACAGCTTTTTGTAGCCTTACCTACTTCAATTTTTGTATACACTACTCGAAAAAATTAAAGGATCAAAAAATTTTCATGAATTTTTTAGTGATTTTCGAAAGCACGTATCTCGGTGAAAAATGGTCGTATCAAGATATAAAAAAAAATCTCTAGTTTCAAGATCTTCAGGCAATTTTTTTTTAAGTTACGGTTATCGAGCAATCAAACGAAATACCTT